AATTCAGTCTCAAAAGTCAGCTTGAAAGAGTACAAAGACGTGCAACAAGATGGAATCTAGACACCAGAATTGGGGAAATGAGCTACCGAGACCGGCTTATCAAGCTGAATTTGCTCCCTCTCGCCTACGACCGCGAACTTAAGGACCTTGTGTTTCTTTACAAATGTCTGAATAACTACACGGATCTAAACATCCTTAACTTTGTTTCTTTTATTTCCCACGGCCGCACCAGACGAAGTAATTCCTTCAATCTCACAACACCTTCATGTAAAACAAGTACCTTTCAGGCCTCCTATTTCAACCGAACTGTTAAACTCTGGAACTCCGTCTGTACCTTATCACCCCCGTCCAAGTTTTCTAACCCGACCGCCTTTCAAACTTTTGTAGCAAAACACATGTTCTCTCTTGTCCGTTCAGTTTTTGATGTTAATAGTCCGTGCACGTGGTCAATTGTTAGGTCGTGTCCCTGTCATTGATTTTTAGTTATCTAGCACTTTTTCACTGTAAGTTTTTACATTTTTTATTTTATTTTATTTTTTTTTTTTCGTTTTTATTTAGGGTAGTGCCCCGCATGGGACTCCATGTCCTGTTCGCACTGACCCTTTTGGCGTATGTCTATCCATTTTTTGTCTCTTTCCTTGTATATGTATTCATTTTGAGCTTGTAGACGTACCCAATAAAGCTGTTAAATAAATAAATAAATAAATAAACATCCATGAATGGTACACCAAAGTACTGGCAAGGCCAGCAAGATGCCCCCACAGCACCATCCGTGATTTTGTCGCAATTGCAAAGTTAAAGATCGTCGATGCCAGGGAGCACGAGCATGTCACCCGCAAACACACTGGTTCAGTCAAGCAGTTGAAGTTGGCATTTCACAGACATCTGCAATGGTATTTACCAATGCTGAATACCATGCTGAGGGAGGGCAGATTACCTCCACTGACCTTTGATCCAAGGATCTATGAGTAGGGATGTAATCCAGCTCAAAAATAAAAAAACCGCTCCTTTAGGAGCTACCAACTTTACAAAAGTTAATGAACCAACATAGTAAACTTCGAAACAAATAAAAACTTTATTCATGGGGTTTTGCAGGCAGGACATCAAAATTTTTTTTAGGGGATTGGAAACTAGAAAAAAGGTTTCAATATGGTGGACAAATGAAATTGAACCAATATGGGCATGTTTCGCCAGCCAACGCAAGCAAGGTAGGCAATATCCATACTAATTATCTCTTTGCAATTAATTTTTCCCGTTCCGACATAGTTGTTGAAGCAATAAATAAGTAAGTGTTTGCAATCATTTCAGCACACGACTAACCAACACATTGCTGACAGGTCACCGACAGGTTACCAACAGACGGCTGACTGTTGGCCAACTGTTGGCCAACACTTTAGTCTACAAAATAACGAAAACTGTCAGTCATCTGTTGGCCAACTGTTGGCCGACGGTGAACCAACAGTTGGCTGACGGTCGGCCAACTGTTGGCCGACAGTTGGTCAAACATCGGCCAACAGTTGGCTGACAGATGCCCAACAGAATCTTTTGGGAACTGTTCTTCACTTTTACCGCAAAATGAAAAAAGGCATTTGCATCACCCGTTTTCAATTGCTAATGTTTTCAGAACAGTGGATTCCAACTTTAAAGCATTTTGTGCAAACAATGTGTACTTATTGTTCTATAAAATCGCTCACCACACTGGTGACAGGTCTTTCAGTGGGGCTGCCTTGAGATTCTGGAATGCCCTAGCAGAGAGTATAAGAAACACCACTGACATTCATCAATTAAAAAAAGTAATAAAGTCTTGCTTATTTAAATAGGCGTCTTTAGCATGAAAGTTGTGATTTCTTGTTCTAATTTTTAGATTCGATTATTAATTTATTATATCATTGTTATTGTTATTCAATTTTTGTCTTATTTTTAGTTTTATGTGTATTATTTTTAACTTGTATATAGATATATACTAGGGTGGTTTTGCAAGAGGACGGGAACGTCATTTCAGAACGGCACACGCATTAAAAATGTCGATAAGAAACTGGATCGAGAACGCCGTCGCGTTGTGTTGAAAAGTAGGGACTTTAAGAACCGAGGACGCGGTGGGTCGGAGACGCGACCACAAGTGATTTTTCTAATTTCAGATGAAGAGCACATGCGCGTGGCATATTCTCCCGCTCTCGAGAATGCGGCCTGAAGAGATTTGCCGTCGTTTGGAAAACGTGAGTTATTAGCCTTTTTATTTAAAGAAAAACACTATAATTAACCGTCTATCACAACTACTCTGTTAATTGGAATTTAAAATTTATTGCCTCTTCATGGGTTAGGCATCATTTTTGAAACTAGAAGGACAAAGTTGAATGGTTTAAAACATTTTCTTCCCTCAAGGTGAGCAAGCTCATGGTGAAGAGGATGGCCTCGAGCAGATCTTCAAAGTAAATCATCTAATTATCCATCAAATATTTCCCAAAATCTCATTTTCCTTCACGATTAAAGGAAATTATTACTACATTCATGCGGCTATTTTCATGCATGATACAATTTAGTTATCAGGCATCTTATCATTCTACTTGGTCTTCGTTTTGTTTTGATTAATCCAAAGAGCTTCGATGTGAAATATCAGAATAAAACTTTATCGGTTGTTCCATCAACAGACGATCGATTTTAGCTTGATAAATAATTTATCTAAGACTATTCTGTTTACCAGTTGAGTCTCTACTAGATCCAGGCTTGATAATTCATGATGATCTGAAAGTGAATTTCCTGATATTGAGTGTGATTAAAACTCAACTAGGCAAAGCCTATTAAAGCTAACTTTCAAAAATCGCCCACTATACTGACTATAAGAGGAAACATTAGTTTAATTAGTTCTTTACCTTGACTACTGTCATAAAGCGTAGCATTTCAAAAG